ACAGCTCCTTGAGAAGAACAACTTGGTAGTAGAAGATACTTCCATCAAATTCATTCATTAGTTTCTTCAATAAATGATTCTCAGCATAAACTTGGCTGGTAAACATTTTCTCAGTTAATAAAAACCTTTTCCTTTTGGGGGGAGTGGGTAGAGTGAGTTTGTTTGTTTGTTTGTTTGTTTGAGACAGGGCTTCTGTGTGGCCCTGTCTGTCCTAGAACTCACTGTGTAGACCAGGTTTGACTTGAACTCAGAAATCTAACTGCCCCTAACTCCTGAGTGCTGGGATTAAAGGTGTGCACCACCAGTGCCTGGCAAGAACCTTTCCAATATATCAGATACTCAATGCTCTCATTCCTCTATATTTTCATATAAATTGTGACCAAAAAAACAATGTAATGTACAATGTGGGAATAAATATCTCAGTAGTAGCAATGTCTATAAGCTGAGGGCTTTGGTTATAATTGAGTTTGATATGTGTCCTGTGAGCAGTATAGCTCTCAGCATGTCTCATAACAACTACACCATAAAGGGGTACTGTGTACTATGTATCTATGTACCACAAGCATTTGTGATACTGCAGAAGCCAGAAGAAGGTGTCAAATTCTCAGGAGTGAAGTTATGGATGTTGTGAGCCACCATATGGATGCAAGAATCAAACCTTTGTAAGAATAGGAAGTGCTCATAACTGCTAAGCCACCTCTCTAGCTCCAAAGATTTGTTTTTAAAGATTTATTTATTATGAGTACACTGTAGCTGTTTTCAGACACACCAGAAGAGGGCATCGGATCCCATTACAGACAGTTGTGAGCCACCATGTAGTTGCTGGGAATTGAACTCAGGACCTCTGAAAGAGCAGTCAGTGCTCTTAACGACTGAGCCATCTTTCCAGCCTGATGATTTTTTTTTTAAATCATGTATATGTGTCTAAGTGTGAGTACGTACAGGTGCCTACAAAAACCCAAGGTGTGGGTCCTCTTAGAGTTTGAGAACCTGACATGGAGGCTGGGAATCAAATTTGTATCCTCTACAAGAGTAGCTGTGTTCCTAACTACTGAGCCAGGTCTCCAGCTTGGAATTTGGAGTTTTACTGAAAGAAAATTTGTTAAGTATAATATTGGGGTGATTCCTGGTAATAATGGTGTTTCTAAATACTTCCCAGTTAAGGTATCTAAGACTCAAAACAATCTTAAGCTGGACTAGATGAAGCAGGTCTGCAATCCCAGGTACATGAGAGACTGGGTCAGACAGAAGAATTGCAAATTCATGCCATACCTAGGCTATGGTGAGTTCAGAAACAGCCTGGCCATACCATTCTCTGGTAGAGCAATTGTCTAGCATGTACAAGGCTCCCCAAACAGCACAGAACCAACAATACAACAACAAAAAAAAAATGCTTGAGAAGTACATTTCCATTATATTTAAAAAACCCAAAAACGCCTTTTGCAAGCTAGCCTTCATAGTACCAGAAGGCTAATGGGCAAAGTCATCAACACTCTCCCCAGCTGTGAACTCTGTGAACTAGAGTAATGACTGGCATGGCAAGAGATGCCCCAGAGGTAATAGTGGCACAAGCAGATGGGGGTTACCATCTGTGTTCTGACTGGATTTGAGGCCTGCTTCTTAGGAGGAAACACATGCCTGGCACTGTAAATCAGGTCAAGGGAGTACAAATATTATTAAGAGCCAGAGGACCAGGATACCTGCTGCAAGATAATGTCAGGGAAACTGTGCCCCATGAAATATGCTTTTCTAAACAAGACCTGCATAATGACATCAACTGACATGTTGACATGGATGGAAGACATGTTTTAAGCTCCCCACCACCAGCAAGATTAAGAGCTACAGATAATCAATGCCAGCTGAGAGAATCCGTTTTCTCTAGGGGGAAGCTCTCTGATAGCTTATTCTATCCCAAGTGTTTAACCCTACACATTTGCATATGAGTAATCAGTAGGTTTTATATAAACTTACAGGGACAGTTGTGAGCTGCCCTATGGGTAATGGGAACTGAGCCTCAGTCCTCTGTAAGAGCGAAAAATTCTCTTAACCACTGAGCCATCTCTCCTGCCCCTAATTTTTTTTTTATTACATTGATTAGTATGTGTGTGCACATGAGCACCACAGCATTCATGTGGAGGTGAGAGGACAACCTGTGAGTGAGGGATGATTCTCATACCATGTGGATCCTGCAGATTATACTCAGGTTATCAAGCTTGGTGGCAAATGTTTTTATCTACTGAACTGTCTTGCCAACCCACTGTTAATTTTTTTTAAAGATTTATTTCTTATTTATATGAGTACACTGCAGCTGTCTTCAGAGACATACTAAAAGAGTGCATCAGATCCCATTACAGATGACTGTGAGCTACCATGTAGTTGCTGGGAATTGAACTCAGGACCTGTCAGAGCAGTCAGTGCTCTAAACCGCTGAGCCATCTCTCCAGCCCCTACTATTAACCTCTTAATAAGTGATTTTTCCCAAACTGAGTTTTGATTTGCAAGATGGAGACTGACTTCCATGACTACTTGGAACTCCAAGTCCCAGGGAAATTGAACTGAAATCTTCTCAGGCCCTTTACTGTTTCATAATTATCATCAAATCTGTTGGGGTCTTAGCAACGTTAAGAACTGAAAACCAGGACAAACTTTTGCCTAAGAACCACTAGAATCTAGACATTGAGTTTTCTAAATATGTGGATGTATGGCGATGCCCCAATAGTCTTGAATGTTTTAGTAATGATGCACATGCTTATTACTGCTGTTGTTTCAAGTGAAGTTCACACATCTTAGTATTTGTAATGGCTATTGTACTGGTTCTCAACTTGACTATATCTGGAATGAACTACAATCCAGAACTGGAAGGCTCACCTGTGATCCAGATCTTGACGCTGGGAGATACAAGTTTCTGACCTGGATCTTGGCATGGAGATCTTGAGGCAGAGTGGCTATGGATCCCAAGAGACTAAGGCAAGGAGATCTCTAAGTTCAAGCTCAGCCTGGGACAAAACAAATCACAGATCCAGGTGTGGTGATACACACCTCTAATCTGGGCCACACTTTCTTCTAGAGACCTATATAAGGACATTGGAAGAAGGAAGATTCGATCTTCTTCACTTGCTTGCATTTACTTCCCCGTACATCTGTTAGAATCTACTAGCCTTGTGGGACTGAGCAACTACTAGATCCTTGGACTTCCCATTCACAGCTGACCATTGTTGGTGAGTTGGACTACAGACTGTAAGTCATCATAACAAATTCCCTTACTTACATCATAACAAATTCCTATATAGAGACTATCCATAAGTTCTATGACTCTTAGAGAACCCTGACTAATACAGTATTGAAGTAACATAATTAGAAGGCAGGCATATGTGGTTGCCACATTAAGCTACTGTTTCCAGTACCTCCTTAGATTATCGATAGACCTAACTATTTGACCTCTTTTTGCCACTATTTGCCACTCCTTTTGTTGTTTTTTTGATGGGGGGGGGGGTTAGACAGGGTCTCAATATGCAACTCTGGCTGTCCTGGAACTCACTGTAGACCAAGCTGGCCTCGAACTCACACAGATCCACCTGCCTCTGCCTCTAGAGTGCTGGGATTAACAGTGTGTGACACTACTGCCTGGTTCTTTGTTAGTTCTTAACACCAGTTCCAAATAAAGCCCTGCATCCCCCTTAACAGCTGTCCTTTGATTATGCTGGCTAGCTGTTGAGAATGGTTGAAACAAATGTAAATTATGTTAGAATTCGAGCGCAGTTTGGACAGACAACACCAAAGCCGATCCGATCCGGTTCCAAGGGCAGGGGTTTATTTGGGGAAGGGAGTGGGAGAGAGGAACGGGAAGATGGCGAGTGAAGAGAAGAGGAAGAGAGAGGAGTAGAGGATAGAGGCCGGCCATGACCACGTGGAGAGAGGGGGAAGAGAAGGGGGGAGGGCTGAGGACAACCTGCAGGTTCTCAGGGTTGAGGAGCAAGGGAGAGAGGAGGGGCCAAGCAGCCCCTTTTATAGTGGGCAGGGTTACCTGCCTGTTGCCAGGTAACTGTGGGGCGGAGCATACCTAGCTGTTGCCAGGTGACTCTGGAGGTGGAGTTTAACAGATTGCTAACAAATTACGCAACTAGTCTTCCACTGTGTGCTTTGTATATGCATGCAGATACCACGGAGGCAGAAGAAAAACTAAGCTCATGGGAGGTCTCTTATACTCCAGAGGTATGTTAATGAGGATGAACTATAGAAAGTAAAATTGGGTTTGGCCCTCCTGGGAAGTAAGATTAAAGCAAGATGCCTGACTAGAGGCATACGGTAAGTCTTTTCTCATCCCGTGAAAGCAGAAATGGACTCATGCTTAACCAGCAAGACAGACAGACAAAAAATGAACTTTCAGATTGGAGAGATAGTTCAGTGTTTAAGAGCACTCAATGATCTTGCAGAGGAGTTGGGTTCGATACCAGAACCCACACGGTGGCTCAAAAATATCTGTAACTTCAGTTCCAGCTGACAGGCCCTTCTGGTCTCTATTGGCACCAGGCACACACATGCTGCACACAGACATACACATACAGGCAAAACATCATAAATAGATGGATTTTCACACTAGAGAGATGGCTCAGTGGTTAAGGGCACGGCACTGACTGCTCTTCCTGAGAACCTGGGTTATATTCCCAACACCCAGGTCTAGACGCTCAGCCATCTTTAGTTCCAGTGGATCCAGCACCCTCTACTGGCTCCCTAGGCATTACACGTGAGACACATACACGCAAGCAGAATACGCTTACACGTAACATTTAAAAACAAAAAACCTTAAAAGTCTTTTTTTAAAAAAAAATAAAGAAAGAAAGAGACTTTCCTGAGGAAGATACCTTGTGTAAACAAGCTATTGGCGCTGCAGCCGACTCCTCTAACACAAGAGCGCTGTGCTAGACTGTAGGACCCGGAGGGCTGCCCGGCCGCGTGCCTGAAGGACCCCAAAGGGCCCGCGGGCTATCTAGCTCAGTGCCTGATGGCCAAGAAGATTGGCGGGAGTACCAGGTGAACCCAGAACCCGGGCCCGCATTGGAGCCGGAATAGCTGAGTCTGGAGTGGACTTTGGCCCGTAGTAGAGAAACCCAGGTTGTGTACGGTTGTGTCCTAGAATGTGGGGGCAATAGGAGGGTTGGGAGCCAAGACTTGGGGCGGGCGGGGGGAAGGGGAGTAGGAGGCGTGGCTGCAGAAGTGAGCCAGCAGTGGGGTTGAGGGGCCAGCAACCACGTGACCAGCGTGGGCGCTAAAAAGTGGCTTCCTCAGATGGCCGGGCAGCTTGTAAAATGTGTAAATGTCTGATAGGGTGACCTTTAAGTCAAGGCAGTTTCTTTACTTGACAGCATTTTCTTGTAAACCAATAGCTAAAACAGCCCTAACCTAACTGGAACCACACCCTCTCTACAGGTCGCCTGTCCTCCCAGGAGACCCCTTAGCATCCTGACCTTGGAATGGCTGGATCAGGTTCATGCACTGATTCATCCAGATAGATACTGTGGGAAGCCAGGTACGTACTAGGCACCCTGCATAGGGACTAAGGTGAAGATGGTGAATTAACGGACATGAGCTTTCATGAAGCCTTCCTTTAATGAGGAATATGTAATCGAAGGAATCATTAAGAAAGCCTGACTGCAGAAGTGAGCTGAGCTCAAATGGGCAAGTAGGGGATAAGCAGGGAGTGGAACACATGGGGTTTCGAACACCTCCTTACACAAAGATTGTCAGGCTAGAAAGGCCTAGAACTGAAAAAGCCTGTGAACTGGGGCAAAAGAGAGAAGGTGTTCCACATGACCCCAGAGAAGTGCCCAGGGACAGAAGTACCCAAAAGAGTTCAAAGATCAGAAAGTCCATTAGAGGGTTAAAGAGGGGACTATATGCTTAGCTTTCATTCCAGTAGCTGTAATGTACTTGAGAACAGAGTTAAACAGCGGCAAGGGTAAATGCCTAGGAACCGTTGAGGAGGGCCCCACACAAGGCCACAGGGGTAATGGTATTTATAAGGAGAAGACTTGTGTGGACTTTTTGTCCTTACAAATTTGTATCAGTGAGATCCTTGGAACTTGGTAATAGTGTGGAGATGAGGAACTGGAAGTCTCAAGGACATCCCCTTGGGCAGTTGGCCATAGTGCCATGTGATCGTCTAGAATATTACTGGGTCAAGTGGGGTATGCTGTTCCTGTACTGGTTAGGTTGGGCTTGGCTTCCTAGTTAGGATGGAACATCCAGTAGTAAGCTGTAAAGAAGGTGTGAGCAGAAGAAACTTCAGCATAGTTTCTTTGTTTGGTCTTACCCTGGTACTACTGCCATGACTGCTAAGCTGTATTCAGGCTAAAAATAATGAGACTGTTACCTGATTGTGCCCAGTGTGTGACCCTGGACACCTTCTCTGTATCTGTTAACAATATCGACAACTACATAACAAATACAAATGATAAATACACACAAATGACATAGATAAGAGGTACTGTGTGGCCATGAGACCTTTTTATCATCCTTCCAATTCTACAGTGGACAGAAGGCAGCTAGAGAGTAGGGCCTTACAAGCAGAGGCAGTCAAGCCCAGCAGCCATGGCACGAACCTTTAATCCTAGTGCTCAGGGGAGGCAGAGGCAGGCAGATCTCTGAGTTCAAGGCCAGCCTGGTCTACAGAGTTATGTTCCAGGACAGCCAGGGTTACATAGAGGAAAAACCTTATCTCAAAAAACCAGGAGAAAAAAAAGTAGAGACAGTCATTGTCATCTTACAGCTAGGCTGTTCAAGAGCAGACATCATAAACCTTGTTTAAAACACAGAAGAGTATAGAAGGTACAAAAGTATTGACAAAATCAGGTGGCAGTGTCTCAACTTAATCTCTCTTCAGTGGAGAACTCCCTGGTACCCTTATACTTGTGTGAACCGAATCTCACAGGGTAACCTGAGTGTCCCCTCTGCCTTCTCATGAGTGCAAATAGCCAAGTGAATGAGTGTCCTACAGCCCCAAAGTATACCACAGAGTGTAGCTCTATGAGTGTCGGGTGAAAGCCCTGCTGGGCTTCCAAGGCTACATGGTTCCAGGGTAGAAGGTGCTGAGAGCCCAATGCTCTGTGGTCCTTAATCCAACTCTCCGACACCAGGGCTGAGATGAGCTCCATCTTGCGAAGTCCTCAGGCTCTCCAACTCACGCTAGCCCTGATCAAGCCTGATGCAGTTGCCCACCCACTGATCCTGGAGGTAAGAATGGACCCACTGCACTGTTTCAGGTGACACAGGGCCACTTGTGGCAACAGACACTTGAGTCATGTGTTAGACGCTGAGGTTGAAAACCTAGATGGGTCAGCTTGAATGCTCAGCATATAAAGGCCTGAGTCTGACCCTAAGAAGAATGTACTCTTAGAGAGCTAGAGCATACCTAAAAGACAAGAAACAGAAGGTTTTGCATTATTTTTACTTATTTTATATGAGCACTAAGTCCTCATGCCTGCACAGCAAATACCTTCATCCACTGAACCATCTTCTTGGCTCAATTTTTCTCTTTTCTTTGTTTTGGAACAAGGCTATTGTGTAGCTACAGCTGGCCTGGAACTTGCTGTGTAGACCAGTTTGGCCTAGAACTCACGAGTGCTAGGCTTAAAGATGAATTCCATCATGCCCAGCCCCAATTTAAAAGAAAAAAAATATATATATAGTCTCAGTCTCTCTCTTTGTATATGTGTGTGTTATATTAGTTTAACTAGTAATACATATTTTTAACTAATTAGTTTTACGTAATACATATGTATATATGTTTATACATACATATTAGTTACAAGTTGCTATATTCCAGATTTGATAGCTTAAAACAACACTCATTTCAGGCTAGAGAGATAGTTCAGCACTTAAGAGCACTGGCTACTCTTCCAGAAGACCTGGATTTGATTCCCAGAACCTATATGTTGGCTCAGAACTATCTGTAACTCCAATTCCAGGGAATCCAATACCCTCTTCTGGCTTCCTCAGACACTAGACACATACATGCTACACAGAACTACTTAAGGGTAAAACACTTCATAAGATAATAAAAAATAATTTTTAAAAATCATACATGTTTATTATCTCACAATTTTATAGTTTAGAGGTCCAGTAGATTTTCTGGGGAATCTCCTGCTTAGGGTCTCCTGAGCCCAAAGACAAGATAGGGATTACCTAGGTGATGGTGGTGTACTCCTTTAGTCCCAGCACTCAGGAGGCAGATCTCTGAGTTCATGGCCAGCCTGGTCTACAGAATGAGTTCCAGGCCAGCCAGGGCTACACAGAGAAACCGTGTCTCAGAAAATATAAAAATTAAAAAAAAAAATGTCTAGGGATTTTCTAACTCCAGGATTGCTGGGCTGCTGACAGAGTGTGGTTCACAGGTGTTCTGCACTTGCCAGCCGTCAGGGAGGACCAGCTCTTCCAGAGGTAACCCACATTCTTCACACATGTCTGAGATACAACAGTGATGCAGCTAGTCCTTCACATTTTTCAAACCTCTATAGCTTTCAACCCTGGCCAGAGAAAACTGCTTTCAAAGGGCTGTGTGATTTTTTTTTATTACATTTATTTATCTGTTTTGTGTGTATATGAGAGAAAGAATGACAACCATGTGTGTGTGTCATGATGTATGTGTGCAGGTCAGAGGACAGCTTAAGGAAAATTGTTTCTTGGCTTCCACAGTGTGGATCTTGAGGATTGAACTTGGGTCCTCGGGGTTGACAGCAAGCACTTTTACCCACTGAACCATCTTGCTGGCCCTTTATGTGACTATTTAATCCAAGCAGGTGAACCTCCCTTTTAGCTAAAGCAGAATCAACTTATTAGTGACCTAAATTATATCTTCAAAATCCCCTTACATAACAAATATTGTCACACTCTCAGACCTGAGGACAAGGGTGGAAGACCTGAGCTGATAGTCAGTACATGGAACGCATTACAACCTTCTGAAATGGTAGAGTGACTGGAATTGACAAGGAAGAGAGTCCAGACAACGTGAGATAGAATGACAAGAGATGAGTGAATTCTAGTATTAGGAAATGCTTCTCCCGAGAACTAGACAGTTACCGTAAGGTTAAGTACTCAGTAGGCTCCCCGTAGTGTGGAGTCCAGAGGAATCAGCAGGAAATACAGTATACATCACTCCAGAATGGTAGGACTCAGGCCTCAAAGGATGAGCAAACTGATAATGCCAGGAGAGTAGAAGGGAGACATTGATGCAGGGCTGGCTGGCCAGGGTGGCAGAACCAGAGAGAAGAGGTGAGCACTGGGCTGAGGTGCATATACTTTGTTCCATAGTAGAAACCACCCAGAACTTTCTGATCAGAGTATGACACGTGAATAAGCTGCAGAGTTTTTAATCAAATGTGACGGTGTAGAAAGAATGAGGAAGCCAGGGAAGGGCCATTCAAAGGAAGAGCAAGCTGTTCTGGGTGGTAGGGCCTAGGGACATTACTTCCTGTCTCCAAGTACCCCAGGTTCATGCTCTAGCAATATAACTGAGACCTTGACCTTTGCCCCTCTTCTTCTTCTGACTCACTTTATTTGTTAATCAGCTTTCTGCCACTGGGCCACACATAAACAAAGGGAAGATTCATTACGTAAAGGTCCATGGGTTTTAGTCCAGAGCTGCTTGGTCCTGTGTCTCTGAGCCTGTGTTGAGGATGAACACTGTTGAGAAGTGCTCGCAGCATGAAGTGTGTACAGACTCAGATCCCAGGGTCCCCTTCGAGAGCACACTCCTGATGATGTCACCTTCAGGAAGGCCACCTTCTCAGGTTTAACACGGCCTTGCAAAAGTGCCATCAGCTGGCCTTAATACATGAGCGTGGGTGGCAGGGTACTCAGCATCTAGACCATAACCCTTCAGCGGAACAGACACTTAACTAATCCTTCTGGATAGCTTGAGTCCTCATTGATTTTTTTCTCTGGGATGGTTGGTTCTCCAGGCCGTTCATCAGCAGATTCTGAGCAACAAGTTCCTCATTGTACGAATGAGAGAACTGCAGTGGAAGCCCGAGGACTGCCGGAAGTTTTACCGAGAGCATGAAGGTAAGGCCAGTAGTCGCCATTATGCTGTAGAAGTGTGTGTGTGTCTGTGTGTGCGCATGTTCATGGTATGTGTGTGCACATGTGTGTGTATCTGTGTGAAGTGCACATGTACAGGCAAGAGGACAGCTGTAGATGTTAGTCACAGGCATCATCCACTTTTTTTCCCTCGACCAGGGTCCCATCTCTGGCCTAGAACTTGACACGTAGATAAGGCTGGCTTGTCCCTGAGCCCCAAGCATCCACCTGCCTCAAGCTCTGACTTGCCAGTATGTGCCGCATGGCTGGCATGTGTATGTGTCCTGGGGCCCCAGCTCAGGTCTTCATTCCTGTAATGCAGACCTTCCCTGGCCGAGCCATCTTCCCAACTCTTCTTGTTTGTTTCACACAGACTTCTCGTTATGATCGGGGTTTTCTATTCCTAGAAGAGATTTCTGTAGAGTCCCAGTCAGTAATGTAATATCATGTTTTGCAAATACCAGTAATTAACACTGAGTGAACATTTATTGTGTCGAGTGTTTCCCTTATGCTTAGTATTTCACTTAATTTTCTCAGACTTAGAAAAGGCTGGTGGTGTTTTGGGTTTTTTTTTCTCTCCCTTTTGGTTTTTTGAGATTGAGTTTCTCTGTATAGCCTTGTAGACCAGGCTAGCTTCGAACTCACAGAGATCCACCTGGCTCTGCCTGCCAAGTGTTGGGATTAAAGGCATATGCCATCACTGCCCAACAGTTTGGTTTTTTGAGGCAGAGTCTCACTGTGTAGCCTTGGAACTCACTCTGTAGACCAGGCTAACCTTAAACTCACAGAGCTCTGCCTCTTAAATGCCAAAGTTAAAGGTTAAAGGTATGCACAACACAGGAAAACAGTCTTGCTTTGTTTTTTGGGGTTTTTTTGGTTTTGTTTTTTTGGGGTTTTTTTGTTTGTTTGTTTTTGTTTTTCAGAAAAAAATGTACAGCACTCAAGGGGCAGAGGCAGGTGGATCTCTGTGAGGTTCAAGGCCAGCTTGGTACATATTGAGTTCCATGCCACCCAGGGTTATGTAGAGAGACTATATCTCTCTCTCTGACACACACTCTCTCTCTCTCTCTCTCTCTCTCTCTCACACACACACACACACACGCACACGCACACGCACACACACACACACACACACACAGAGAAAGGTAAAAAACTTTCCCAAATCATAGGGAGTTGATGTTGTGTCCTTGGGACACAGAATTGGGAAGACATGTTAGAGAGGGTAACAACTCGATGAAAACCATACAGATTGTGAGTGGCAGTCTGCTTCCACACTCAGAAATGTCAGGCTCCAAGCTTCTTGTCATTTCTCTATAAACTAAACGGTGTGGCATTATAGGGAGTGAAAAGTGAGACCCTTCTCTTGGGCACCACAGTCTCCATGAAGGTACTCTCTCTTTGCAGGGCGTTTTTTCTATCAGCGGTTGGTGGAATTCATGACAAGGTACTTTTAATTTTGGTCCTGATATCTTTATGTGCTGTGAGATGCCTCCTCTTCCCTGTGAATAGAACTGTCAATTTCACTTACCACTGTCAAGCCTAAAAAAACATGACTGTGCTACACTAACCTGGTGGGCACCTGTTCTGTGGTTGCTGGACCAGCGGCTGGGGTGGAGTACTGTTGGATGCTGCCTAGCGATCCTGTTGCCCATCACTTTCTTCCTATACCAGCATCAGTACTCACTAGAAGGGGAAAGGAACTCTCAGAATGTATAGTTCACTTTTATTCTTGTCCTGCTCACAAACATGTTCTAGATGAGGTGATCATATCCCTTCTTTTATTCCCAGTGGGCCAATCCGAGCCTACATCTTAGCCCACAAAGATGCCATCCAACTTTGGAGGACACTGATGGGACCCACCAGAGTATTTCGAGCACGCCATATAGCCCCAGATTCAATTCGTGGGAGTTTGGGCCTCACTGACACCCGAAATACTACTCATGGCTCAGGTGAGTCTAACCCTCTCATCCACAGCCACAGGTGAGGAAGCCACGTGAGAGACTGACAGCCAGGGCTCCCTCCAGTGAGCTTTGTCCCATATATTTCCGGCCCTTTGTAGCTGTGCCAGCCATGTGCCCTGTGAGCTTTCTTTATATATCCCAGGACTGAGTGGTTCATGTTTCTGAGCCTGACAGTTACTGAGTCTTTCTTACCTTTACCCTACATTCCCTGTGATGGCCCCTTCTCTTATTTGTCTTATTCTCTGAGCAGTGATCCCAATCTTGCAGTCCTGCCTCAACCTCCTGGGTTTTGTTGTTGTTGTTGTTGTTGTTGTTGTTGTTGTTGTTGTTTTGTTTTTTGAGACAGGGTTTCTCTGTGTAGTCCTGGCTGTCCTGGAACTCACTCTGTAGACCAAGCTGGCCTCGAACTCAGAAATTCGCCTGCCTCTGCCTCCCAAGTGCTGGGATTACAGGCATGCGCCACCTCTGCCCAGCTATGCCTCAACCTCCTAAGTAGTTCTTCTCTACCTCTCCTCTTCTCATAGACTCCGTGGTTTCCGCCAGCAGAGAGATTGCAGCCTTCTTCCCTGACTTCAGTGAACAGCGCTGGTATGAGGAGGAGGAACCCCAGCTGCGCTGTGGTCCTGTGCACTACAGTCCAGAGGAAGGCATCCACTGTGCAGCTGAAACAGGAGGCCCCAAACCAGCCTAGTAAAGTCCTGTCAGTCCCTGAGAAGGTGGGCTGAAGGCACTGTTCCTGTTGGACCTCACCACCTGCTGGAAGCTGACCACAGCTCAGCTGCTGCGGTCTAGCTCTATCTACCTCTTCTGTGGAGTATTCATGGGTGTTCAGGAAGGATGGTGATGCCTCTTTTTACAAAGGACTGTCCTGCTTCCTCCAGAAAGAGCTGCCTATTGACTAGTCAGGAAAATGCAGTGCCTGTGTAACCAGCATCTGACCTGGCTTCCTTAGTAAACACTGTGCTACTGAATGCTCTAGACTGGCAGTATTTCTGTACAGGCTTTCTCTCAGTCCTTCACGGGAGTCCTTGCATCTGCCCTGAAGCCAGGTTTCTGATCTGCACTGAAGAGAGACTCCTGTAAGACTCTCTCAGCGGGTTGGTTATGGAGCACATATACACACTCATTCACAAAGTTCAGTATGCACTCAAACCATGCTGTGTACCTCAGCACAGGGCTGTGTCCTAGGAAGAGGCACCTCTTTGATCCAAGGTGCCTCTGTGCTTCTGCCCAGTGAAGGTATGTTTTAATGAAGCTGGGTAATAAGGCAGGATTTCTGATTTCCACATAGGTACTAAAAGTAGTTATACCTCCACTATATCAACACGACAGTTAATGCTTTGTGGCATTACAGCAAATGTCAACGGTCCAAGATGCCGGAATGTATTCCTGGTTATCTGTCAGCTGACTGTGCTTCTGTTACTTTGACCCAGGGTTACTTGCACAGCTATATTCATTGGGTAAATTGATTATGGTAGGTCATCCTGAGCTGCTCAACACAACTTGTTTCAGGTGCCCAGAGGGCTGGCTCATATTACAGTTCAGGAAGCTTTTGCTTATGCCTGAGTTAGAGGATAAAGATTCTGGGATGTGGTGGCACATGCCTTTAATGTCAGCACTCAGAAGGTAAAGATAAGTGGGTTTCTGTGTGTTCCTCAGCACAGGACTGTGTCCAAGGAAGAGGACTGGCTGGCTTTGAACACACAGAAAGAGGTTCTGTAGTGACATTCAGCTCTAAGGCCTGATGTCCACATCTGAGGTGCAAATCCACAACTAGAGCCATCTTCCAAACAGTACATCCAGGTATGAGAGCTGAGCACACTGCTAAAGCTAAGATCTAGATCTAATGTCAAACCCACTGTTCTAGGCCATCCCATTTCAACACACATGTACAGCTCCAAGCCCAAATTCCTAGTTGATACATGCTGTTATAGGTCAGTATCCCAAAGATGTAACTTTAGAACACTTGTGGCCTAAATTGTACTCCCTACCACAGTTTATAAGCTGAATTCCTAATTCCAAATATTTCAGAATATGAGTCTATTTGGAAGTAGTCATTGCAGACATAATTAGTTATGGATAACCCCAAGTAAATAAATAAATGTAATTTAAGACTTGAGATTTAAAAAAAGCAATTTAAAAATATTCTTCAGAATAAATATATGAGCATAACAATAACAACACCCCCAGATGAAACAACATAAAAGTAAGACCACATCAGGTTGTCCAGTTAGAAGCAAATTCAAATGATGAATTTATACTGAAACAGAGGAAGAAAGCAGGTTTGAAAGCAAATGGAACCAGGCCAATTCAAAGGAAGTGAAAGCAGTTCCAGATAGACACAGCCAGATACAGGGAACAAATCAAAACTATTGGGTTCAGAGTTGTGTCCAATGAAAGAGCTTCTGACAGACACTCTTGAGGATAAGACCCTTAGTCAAGAACCAAGCTGTAAGTCCCAACTCCCTTATAGGGAGTGGTTTGGTTGGTACCGGGCCATAGGTGACGGTTTGTGTCATGTCTTTTGTGTTGAATTTTTCTGTTGGGGTGTGGTTGTCTTGACTTCCTCTTCTTCTGAGCTTACTGGGATATTGTTTTCTGTGACTCTTCCTAGAGGAATATCTGCATGAAGTTCAGCTCTGGGAACTGGTGGTTCCTGTTATTGACTATGGGAAGAGTTTCGGAAATGATCCCGTCTTGCCTGTATGCCGACAGGACCACAGGTGGAGCTAGACACTTGCCCCAAGGCGACCAGATGGAGTCAAAATGTTGGTCACCTGTGGGTTCTATGAGCTTTCTGGATACCACACTTCAGACCCAGGGAAGTGTGGAGGCTGTGGTTAGAGCCACAGACCTAAAGTAACCTCTGAGACCACTCAGGTCCTAGAGTGGCCAAGGGGACTTGAAAACCATAAGAACTCAGAGGTCTGCCTACCTCTGCCTCCCCGGTACTGGGACTAAAGATGTGCACCACCACCACCATTCCTTAAAATATTTTACCTGACAGTCATACAGATGTTAGGTCAGATATAGGTAAGCAATAAATGGATGTTTAGGGGCTGGAGAGATGGATTCATGGTTAAGAGCACTTGCTATTCTTGCAGAAGACCTTGGGTTTAGTTCCCAACACCTACATCTGGCAGTTCACAACTGCCTGTAACTCTAGTTCCAGGAGTTCTGACATCTCTTCTAGCCTCTACAGGTAGCAGTATGTGTGTGTGCATATGCACACACACAAATCTTTTTTTTTTCTTTTTTTGGTTTTTCAAGACAGAGTTTCAGCCAGACAGTGGTGGTGCACTTTAATCCCAGCACTTGGGAGGCAGAGGCAGGTGGATTTCTGAGTTTGAGGCCAGCCTGGTCTACAGAGTGAGTTCCAGGACAGCCAGGGCTATACAGAGAAACCCTGTCTCAAAAAAAAAAAAAAAAAAAATCAAAAAAAGACAAGAGTTTCTCTGGTTGGCTCTAGCTGTCCTAGAGCTCACTCTGTAGACCAAGCTGGCCTTGAACCCAGAGATCCACCTGCTTCTCACTTGCAAGTGCTATATACCATCACTACCCAGCTAACCTTTTTTTGGAGGGAGAGGGGAAGGTTCAAGACAGGGTTTTTCTGTGTACCCTTGGCTATCTTGGAACTTGCTCTGTAGACCGGGCTGGCCTCCAACTCACAGAGATCCACCTGTCTTTGCCCCCTGTGCTAGGATTAAAGATAAGTACTCCACTGCCTGGCTATAAACCTTGTGTAAGTGGACCTCTTGCCCTGCTGCCTTACATACACCTAAATGGACAGCTCCCTTCCTTTCTCTCACACACACAGAGCACATAAAATTATAGCACACACATGGGCTCAGAAAGCCTCCACAGGTAAAGACAATGAATACAAAAGCCACTGAGAGAAGTTTCTTTCACCAAGTTTATTATTTTAGGGATCCAGAAACAGGCCAAGGCAGGCCTACTGCTCTGTCTCAGGTGCAAGTTTCTGAAAAAAATCCTTAATTTTCTGGCCAATTTTCTTAAGCTTCTCACCAATCTTCTCCCCACCTTTTCGGAGGAGTCCAGCCAGCCGGGAAACTTTCTTGAATCGAAAAGGCTGTATACCAGGCTGTGTACCAGGAAGAAATGGGTTCCTTGTGGGTCTGGTTCCAGGGCCACCCAAGGTCCTTCCCCACCTAGACCATACTTCTGGGATACTCCAAGAACCTCTGGACCCTATTCAGCCTTTGGGACATGCAGTTGGATCCTTAACCCCAATAAAATGAGAATCCGGAGCCTAGGAATAGCAAGGGGCTCCCGAGGGTCTGAGAAAGCATACCCTAAGAGAATGCTCTGAGCTTTAGCAGGACTCAGAATATCCACTAGAGTGTGTTAAACCCCAGGTGAAAAAGTCCTCACCCTGGAGTCCTGTCAGTCATAGTGAGATCTAAGAATCTGCATCCCTAACAAGTTCCTATGTAGCCATATCTGGCCTAGAACCCATAGGGATCCTCTCACCTCTGCCTCCCAAGTAAGAGCCAAACTGAGAAGCACTACTCCAGGGAATGACAGATCCAGTCTGGAAGTTCAGGCTCAAGGGAGGGGCCAAGGGGATGGAGGGGAACTCTCTTTTCTGCTCCAGGTAGGAATAGGGACTAACTGGTTTCAGGATAACCCATGTTCCATCCCCTCACCATCCCCTGCATCCCACTCACCCCATTACAGCTGATGTCAAAAGACTCTGAGGCCGGGTTCAGGGTGACTGTCCCCATACACTGCTTCACCACCTTAGAAGAGAAAACCCATGGTCAAACTGGAATCCTTTTGCCATAACCCCTAGTCCACTGGATGGAAATATTCCCTTGGGACTCCTTGACTAGTTCCTCAAGAGGGACCCCCACCCCCAGCCCCTCTGCCTTACCCCCTGTTCCTTGAAGGCACATTGCTCAGGTAGCTGCTGCGCTGCCTTGGCACACACAGTCTCCTTCACTCGGAACCTCACATACTTGGGAGTATCTGGGTCCTCATCCTGGTCAGGGAAGAAAGTAGGGAGACTAGGCTCAGGCCCAGTCTCAAAACTTGAAGGATCAGTCTCCTGACATGCACCAACAGGGTGGCCCTCCAGCACTACATGCTGGGTGCTGAGACAGGAGCTATTGCTGAGGTACAGAGGGAGGAAAAAATGAACCCCCTCTTCTCCCCCCCACCCCCCAGTGAATGGGATCAGCCCTCAGGCAGCTCCCCGTCTGGAAAGGGAGAAGGAAACAAGGATGAGGCACACCCCTAGGGACCTCAAGCTCAGGTAGTGCCCCTCATTGGATATGGAAAAACTTAAAGCAAAAGAAGCCAATTCCCAGGGCCAAGATTCCACCCCGGTCCCTGCGATGGAAGTCCCAGGTATCTTATGCCACAGCAGGTATTCCAAGGCTGAAAGCTGGCAGTCTGAAAGGAGACACAGATTTATGGAGTCTCCTGGGAAAAGGAGAGACCACATTAAAAGGAGGAGGTGCCTTGAATTAGAACTTGGCTCTTCCTCTGCCTCACCCCTTGGGACTCAGAATCCAGGTCCAGGAGACGGTAGAGGTTGGTGTCCAAGGACTGCTGGTTGAAGTCATCCACAGCACGGAGCACAGCCTCCCTGTAGCTGAGAGTCTGGGAGATGGCTAGAGGCAACCCCAAGCCCAGTAGCAACAGCAGTGATAGTGATCGCCACAGGGAAGGGACGTCCCTATGGAACTGCATGGTTCCCAAGACTGCCTCCTCCAGGCCACGAGAGCTTCATTTATTCTCATCCTGAACCTGATGCAAAGTTGCAAACAGAAGCCTTCCTGGCCCACCCTGCCCCTGCCAGGGTGTGTGTGGGCTAGGGCTTGCTTCAGACCCTTGTTGCTTCACGAGACTCTGGGCAGTGAGTGAAGTCAGCTAACATGCCAAATGAAGAAATAATTTCCCCATCTTCCTGAGATGGCCTTGGCTTCTCCTGGGCCCCAGAGGGATT